ATGTAGGGCAGACATAATTTGGACTTCCTCCAGGCTCATTCAATAGAAGGCATGGGGGGAGTTCTGATCAATAGCGAAGGATGTCTTTCATGGTCTCTGAGGGCTAAAGTGAATTTCACTGACTGACAGCTACCTTTAGGCACTGGCAAAACGTATACGTGCAGTACACTTGTAGAAAGGTCAGCTTTGAGCTAGTGGTAGGAGTCTGCAGCTGGTGGGGTATTTATGCGACGAAATGCTTGTCCAGTAGCAGAATCCCTTGTCTCACCTGGGTAAACATCTGCCACTTTTTTTTTTGAGGTGCATGCCTCTTGTTCCCAAACCATATGAATATTTCATTAAAATAATACTGAGCCATATTAATTTTGATTTAACTGGTGAATTGTATAAATAAAAGACAGAATGGAATATATTCAACTTTTTTTTTTTGACTGTACAAAATTGAATTAATACTCAGCTTGAAAGGGTAAGTGGCCATTGTCATTAGGTAAAATGATGACATGAGCCACTCTGAAGTTATACCAAGATACTGGAAATAGAGGTAGAGCTTGCACCGATGCTCTAATAAATTGTAGTCTTGTAAGTGGAGTGTGTTCTCTTCTTCCCACAAACTGATGAGTATTCTCAAACCACTGACTTTTACCTAATGCTCATGATTTGTCCTATATGGTCATCATGTGCTAAAGGTGGAAGTGAGCTAGAAAGATCACAGCATTTGGGAATTAAAATGTCTGCATGTTGCTTTCAGTTTCACATCAGACTTCTGGAATAACCTCTTCATCAAAAAACACCCCCAAATACCCCATCATGGGTGTTAAACATCAAAATAGTGTGGGGAAGTGCTTTAAGCATTTGCATGAGATGTACCAAGTGCAAATACAAGTGTATTACAGAGTGATAGCTATTTTTTTTTTTACTTGTGCTTCTGTCCTGGATGTTATAAAGGTGGGTTGCCTAGATGATGGTTGTACAGTCACATCAGTCTGCTCTTTTGTTACAGTAAAGCTAGGTCATATTGCCACTGAACCCAGAAAGCAGCTTCTGGACAAATACTAGTGACTCTTCTGATGTGAGCTGTGCTGTAAGAGCTGTTTAGTATTTTGGTGTTTGGTCCTTCCTTCCTTCCTTAGTTTTTTCAATTTAATGTTCTAGTTCTATTGTAGACCTACAGTTGAAGGTGTCGAGAGTATTGTGTGTTTGACAATGCCTGCTTATCCACTGGGGCCACTAAGTCTGACAGTCTGAAACAAAATAGAAAGAGATGAGATGAAAACTGTCTAGGCTTCTTATTAAGACTTGCTGTGTTATAATGCTTCTTGGGTTTGCTGTTAGGAGTCTCAGTTTGGAGGTACTGAAGATGGCTGGAAAAGGGTTTTTTCCTCTCCACTATCTTTTGTCATGCTGAGGCTAGAACCAGTATTTCCGAGAACTGTTTAGTTAACTCCTTTATATGCTGTTTGGCTGGCAAGTCAACTCTTGCTGTCCAGACAATAAAAACTGGGATAACCATTCTGAACTGTGTATGGTCTTCTGAACAGCACATACATCTATGTAATGCAGTGAGTGGCAAAACAGGCTTGGGGCCCCTGGATGCTGCTGTGGTACAAATACATATTATTTCTATACTTTGAAAAGCAGTGAGATATTTTACTCTTTGAGATCAAAGCTGTCAAAGGTGCAAGGTGAATTTTACCCCTATAGTCCCGCAGGTTCAAGTATTCTCTAATGGAATATGACTGAAACTCGTAACAGGCTTGTTTTTTGAAAGGTTGGAGTCTTTATGGTGTCTGTGGTGGATGGGTTTGCAAAAGCTGTTGTTTGTTGAAAGAAGGAAACTGGGAGAAATATCTAGGAGGCTTAATGCCCTGTAAGGTTCTGGTAAAGAAACAAGGTAATTCTTGGTGTAGCTAGTTAAAGTGTCAGTGCTTACACTTTTAAGCACTGAAGATTTTTAACAAGTTTAGTTGGGAGCTGTTTTTCCATGGACTTAAAGGAAAGCGTGTAAAGCGTGACTGGCTTCTCATTTGAGCTCTGGAGAAGCTGGCCAGGTCGTTGCAGCCCCACGTTGGGAAGAACCACCTGATGTGGCCTGAAACTCAGGGATTGTTTTTGCGGTCGAGGAGACTGCTAAGGGAATTGCAGCTCTGAAGAGTGTCCTTAGAGCAAATCTCTTGATGCCAGGTACTTCAAAACTCAATCAGTATTGCCAGGGACATTTTTTTTTTTACCTCTAAGACTTCAGTAGTCTTGATTTTGGGGAAAGCGAGGAACAAACCTCATTAACAGTAATCTCGATACTCTGGCCTTGTGACCAAGGCCAAAAAAAAAAAAAAAAAAAAAGCCCCCCCCCAAAAGGGGGGAAATAGGGGATTACCTTTTGCATGATGAGGATTGTTGCAGTAAAGCAGATGTCATCTATTTATATGTGCTGAGTTAGAATACTAATCATAGAATAGTTGGGCAAGTAAAATGCAGGGCTGCTATCAGAATTACATTTTCAACTTGTTTAACAAAAAGAGGATTTCTTTCTTTTCCTGGCTTCCTTCCATTTATTTCTTACAGTTATCAAAGAGGAGGGTGAATTTTCCATGCAGCTTTAGTCTGCTTCTGATTATGCTCCCCTCCCTCTCTGAGCAAACGTTCAGCTCTCTTTCTGTTTTTCCTTTTTGTTGTTGTTGTTGTTCTCTGTTTTCTCTTCACATGTGTAAATCTGCATCTCACCTTCTCAGGAATATTTTGGGGAAGGGCTAGACCTACTGTGTATTGCTTTGCAAGTAATTGGCACCCTTCGCACTAATGTGCTTTATTTATTTTTAATTTGTTCATTTGTTTCGTGGAGTAGTTGGATGCATAAAAGCAAATTATTTGTAAGAACCTAAAAGGTAACATAAGAGATGAGTAACAGTTAATGTGGGTTCTTCAGGAGCAAATCGTGCCAAGCCAATGTACTTTTCTTCTGGATTGTACAGGTACAGAAGAAGTAGTAGTAGTAGATCTGTGTATCTTGACTGAAGTTTTCAAAGTAATTTTCTTATGAGAAGCGTAGGAAAACAATGGGCTACTGGAAATCCCCTGAAAGGCATAAAAAATGGTTTAGTTATTTTGTTTGAACATAACAAGAGGTTCAAGATAAAATTAGGATGAGATGTTTAATGGGTTTTTGCAGAGTCTTTAAGCAGTCTCACAGGATTCACTGGTTTTCACCAACTCCTTAGATAAACTTCACGTAGTATCGTGAAGTGAAGTGGATCTCCTGGTGGTGACTGTGCTTGAATGATGTGACAAGCTGGCAAAAGAGTCTTAAGTAACCTTGGATGTGGTTCAGTCAGGATAAATGCAGAATATTAGGCTTTGATAAGAGTAATCAGGTGTGTAAGTGTACAGTGGGCAAGGACTGGACAGGTGGCAGCTCTGCAGAGGAGAGTTTGGTGCACAAACTGGTTGTGAGTCAACCGGGCTGCAGCATTGCACAAGCTGCAAACGTGCTGGGCTGTACAAACAAGTGTGTTGCAAGTCGGACACGAGAAGTCACCAGCGTGCTGGGTAGAGCCGAGATGAGCTTCCTCTGCAGGGTCTTAGTTTTGGGTACCATATCTGCAAGATTTTTAGCAGCAAGGGGAGAGGTCCCCCAAAGAGAAGTAACTTCTCCATCATGGTAACTTTTTTTGGAATAGCCGCTCACATATTTGATGGGGGTAGTGGGAGGGAAAGAGGGCAGGGGGGATCTGCGCCACTTTCCATGCCTTTGGAGAGCAGAGCAAGGAACGATTCACCTAAGCCGCACTAAAGGTCATGCGAGCTACCTGTTAGAAAAACCTTTCTAAATGCATGAGTAGTGAAGGACTGGAAGAGACTCCTGGGGAAGTTGTGGAGGGAAGGTTTCTTAATAAGCAGATGTGACGAGCGTCTCTTGAGTGCAGTTTCTGTAGAGTTGCAGTGACTGCTGTGGAACAGCAGAATCTTCTTCTTCTTGCAGCCCTATTTGATTCTGTAACCTGAGCCATTGTAACTGAAGGGCAAAAAATGCCTAGTGCGTGCTTACAAAATGCCTAAAACTACAGTCCTATTACAAACAAAATCAGACTTTGAATGAGGGGAAGTACCGTTGCTGATAAGTGGTGCTAAGAGTAGGTAATAGCGGCTTTGTCTTTTGATGGGACAGTGGATGCGTGGCTGGCTGCAGACTGCCGAAACCCACAGCCGCTGCTTCTGCACCGAAGCACATTCACCTGTGCAGCATCCACCGCAATCTCGCATCCTGAATGCACGTCCCCGTCTGTGTTCTGGTTCATGTCAAGATGCGAGCTAAGCGCATGCCATCGCCATCCTTCTTCCCCTTCCTCCCCCTGCCCCAGTGAGCGCCTCCCTTCTCTGTAAGGAAATCTGGGCATGGAAAAAGGGAGGAGCAGGACTGCGCCCTTCCATGCAGTCTAGGTTTGACTTCAGGTGCACACAGCCAGCTTTAACAACAAAGGTTTTGCTTCCTAGTGCGTGCAAGCTGAAGCTATACACATAGGTGGGTTTGTAACTTTGTCAGTGCTTCTAGTTTTTGTTGCCAGATATATGCCTGTAACGGACAGAGTGCTGCTCTGCAGGCTGTATTGACGATTTGGTTTCTCCAGTTACAGGAAAATATGGGGAAGTGCTTCATTTTGGTAATAGAAACAACACTTTGTTTAATACCACTTACGTTAATCAGAGGTAGAAATAAGTACTTTTCTTCATCATGCATCACATTTTATTGCTGAGCTATTTGCTCCTGGAAAGGGAATATTTTTGTTAGCAATAATCTAGGTGAAAAATTGTCACCACTTAGTGTATTTTTCACTGAAATATATTCAGTGCTTTCTTCGCATTTTGTCAGGGTGTTTTATTTTTCTCTATAATATTGAAATACACATGCTGATTTAAATCTTTGCCTTACCCTCTTCTGTTTCAGTCCTGTTGGTCATCTTGTTCATGCACACATTTTGATTATTTGTGTATCTCTTTCTTCCCAGGAGACAAAGATGGCAGCAAAGTGACTACAGTAGTGGCAACTCCTGGACAAGGTCCGGACCGACCACAAGAAGTTAGCTACACAGACACCAAGGTGATTGGAAATGGATCTTTTGGTGTTGTGTATCAAGCCAAACTCTGTGATTCAGGAGAGCTTGTGGCCATTAAGAAAGTCCTGCAGGATAAAAGATTTAAGGTGAGCCTATGCATAAGTTCAGAATATTTTCATGAATGTTATCTCATTTTCCATGTCTTTGGCAATGTTTTTGATATTTTTTTAATTTATTTTCACTGGAGTACCTAAATGCACATAAAAGTTTCCAGGACTAAAGATTAAACAGATGGTTTATGATAAAGGGATATAGTTTAACTTGAAAATCAGTGAGTCACTGTTATGATTATTTGGATTAGTGCAAAACAGGAAGCTAAAAATCCTGATTTGATGTTGTGGTGGTGTTTCCAGGTTGCAGACTAGATTTTTCAGACAACGAGCTGTGGAAACAAGGGAAAAGGTTGTCTTATGCTTACTTTTTTCTAGTGTAGACTCTCCTCCAGTCATTAGTAATTAAGCTGCTGGAAGGAACAGAAGCCTTTGGGCTTTGTTCTTGGTTGTTGCACCTACAAAGTGGAAGGCTGGTTTTGACTAAATTGGGAAGTCCCCAGGCCAAGCAAGAAGATAACAAATACTGAGCCCAGGGCAGTTTGGACTGAAGACGGGTTACTTCCCTTCATTATCTGATTTAAAAATGTGATCTCTTCTGGTGGTTTTAATACACTAGTGATTCTTTATTCTAAACAAGTAGCCTTCCAAAAAGCTGTATTTTCTTTGGTGATATTTAAACCAAATAAAAGTTAAGGACCATCAGCAACCTTGTCGCTGCTGTTAGTCCTCCCTACTTGGTACTTGGTGTGCTTGACTGCTTTCCCTTACAGTCAGGTGGCCTGCAGGCAGACTTGTGCAAGCAGTGAATGGTAGCAAAGGTACTGGGTTTAGCATCTGAGATGAATGGTGTGGGTTTTAGCATCTGAAGGCCACAGCTTTCATGACTACAGAAGCATAAGGACAACAGATTAACCATGGCACTTTCTCTATCTTGTTGGCATGGTCTCAATACAAAAAGTTCTGAGCTTAAAAATAGGAAGTTGAAGCATATTTAAGGAAAATCAGCAATTTGAAACTTCTTTACAATTTTATACTTACTCTTAGCCTTTAGAAGTATTTCTAAAACTATTGGATGACATTTTTATCATCTCCTTCTCAGTTTTCTCATTTTTTCAGTAAGACTTCATACACAGCTTGCTTTACTGGTAATGTTTGTAATTTGTGTCCTGTTTTGGTAGCAACATCATTCTTTTGAAGTGTTTTGAAGGAACTGGTGTATGCCTTTTCCTTGAGTCTTGAAATTGATGCTGTCATCATCACAGGCATCAGCATATCACAAATGTGTTAGATGAAGAATGGAAAAGTAAAGATATGTTTAAATTAATGTAATCACACGGCATTGTTTAACTTCTAATTGAGAAAGGCGTGTAAAGTTCTTACATTGTTCTTACATCTGAGTTATTTCTGGACTGTATTATGTGTTGAAGGCAATTAGTACTGGGGAAGCATGCAACATGATGTAAGAGTGGATTATTTCAGAAGAATGGAAGAGGTAGAGGAATAACAGAAGCTCTAAACCTAGTCATGCTTAAAGGAGCTTTTTGATCTCTTCCCATTAAATAGTTTTAAGGGAAAGGCCAGGACATTTCCCTTACCATCTCATGCTTGGTGGATGTCAGCTAGTGCTTTGGCCCAAAATCTTTGATTTCTTTAGTCTCATGACTTTGAGGTTGTGTAGGCTGTCAAAATGAAAACTTGGCCAAGCATTTTAGTTCCTGCCCATCAGATACTAATAGTTTTTGACATCTTTCTTTTTATTTTTATTTTTTTGATAAATCTGTATTGGGCATCTAGAAAAAAATGTAGGTCTTAGATTGTTTTTGTTTCAGTAGTTGATTCAGTGGCATTTTGTTTTCTAACTATATACCTCTCTCTATTTTGGAGTGTTTCTTTAAGTGATTCGAAAAACCATGTCATCTTTTGAATATTAGCCCTCTTTTTGTTTAAGGAAAAAAGCTAAACTAAAAAGCTAAATAGGGTGTTTCCAGTTCGGACTCTGAACTAATTGCCTATGTATGATGACATAAGCTGGGAACATCCAGTACCTGGAGGCTTTAATACCCCTAAACTAGGTGGAATTAATGGTAAGTGCATGTGTAGATTTATAGATAGCGTTAATTTCAAAAAGCTTTTTTTAACTTCATAATCTGTATGGGTCACATCTGCAGTAATACCCAAGTTATGTATTTTTTGTGTTCTTATCCCAAACTTGTATCCCAACTGCACAACATCATCTACCTTTGGTCTCAGCTCCCTAGTTTTTACCGTCATTCATCAGTTTAGTCCTCCCTTTCTTTTCGCATTCTAGTCTGGAAGTGTATGTTCTGTTGGCAGGAGGTGTAAATTCCTGCAGGCTGGATGAAAGCCTCTGCCTGGACGGATTTGGAAGCTAGAGACATGTATCTTATATCAAGAATAGCATACAGTTAATTCAGGGTATGCTATTCTTTGGGAACTTCTGATCTAGGTTGTAAATGCTGCACCAGATATTTTACCAGTTAAGCGGGGAACTTTGAATGTCTGTTGGCCATACAGTTTGATCGCAGCATAGGAGCAGAGCAGCTCTTCTGTTCAGAGAGCCGAGCTGTGGTGTGCAGCTCCGCTGGGCTGTTGCCACCCCCGCACGGCTGCCTGAGTCCAGATCCAAGCCCCAGTGAGTCCTTAAGGAATCTGCCACTTCTTCCCTGTCATTAATGTACACCCGTGGTTCGGCGATGATGAGGAAAACCCTATTGTAGACAGCCAAAGGTGGCAGTAGCTTGTTTGATTTAAATCAGCTATCAACTTCTGAGGGAAGAGAGGGAGCGCTTTAGAAATACCTGTCTGCACTGGTCCCAGTGGTAGAGAAGCAACGAGAGGAAAGTAATGTGTGGAAGTTGCTTCCTGAAGTGTAGATCAACAAAATGTTCAGCTGAATGCTTCGAGCTCGTGCCTGCTTATCTTTATATCCTGATGGATTTATCTTGGTACATGCAGTATAATTCCTTTGTTGTGATTTAGCTCTTTAAAAAAAATGCTTTTAGAAAAGCCAGCAGGAAGTCTTGGAACTTAAAGGCGTGATTCCAAAACTTTAGGAACTCCCAAGAGAATGTAACTTCTAGGCTCCTTCTGCAGTTTGTGAATGTGGAGGGTTTATTGTAAAGATTTGGAAAATGCACCATAATTGCCAATTTTTAGATCTCTGTCAGGAAGTTGAGATACTTTTATCCAGGTTTAAAGCTAGCTTGAAAGCTGGAATTAGCAGAGGGGGGTTGTCTCTTTTTTCTTTTTTCCTTTTCCATTATTGTGACAAGTTTCTCGGCAGCCTCCACTGAAGCGGAAGCAGCATTGGTCTATGCCAGAACGAAGTGAGTGTAAAATCTTTGCTAGAGTTGAATCTTACAGTTTCTGTGATGGTGAAGATAGTTTGCAATGCTCCTACTTCCTTCTGCTCCCTTGTTGCACTGTATTGCTTCTTCAGCTTGGCAGTGCACTTCCTGCACGGCTGTGTTTTAAACAGGGTCTCTGAAGTGCTCTGGGTTTTGAAATGAGTAGGTCTACAGTTAAGTGTAACCTAGAGCAATAGTATTGGTACACTAGGAATAGAGACAAATGGCTGAGGGGAATAAAGAAGATAAGCATAAATCTCTATATTTTATTTTAATTTTGGTTTGCATTCTACCGTCATTAAGCTAGATCTCCATATTAAGCATGAGGAATCCAAGTAATGTGATTTTCGACAATTATGTGATACTTAGGTGAGTAGTTAACAAACTACATGCTGTTTATCGTTCAGCTGTGGGGCCATTGAATTTGTCTCTAGTCAGTATGGAAGGTCATATTTTCTTTGGTTTTTTTCAGTTAAAAGTTTAACAAGGGCAAGAGAGAGACGTTTCTCTTTGAAAAATGGTGTAAGACAGCTATTCACAAGCTTTCAGGGCCAAAAGCCATTCAAATGGCAACATTTCTTAAATGCTATGTCCTGGCTTTCACAGATCTATACTGTGTTTCTGCTTCTATCACATAGATGCGTAAGAAGAAGTCCTCATGCAAAGCATTGATATTTTCAGTTGTTTTCATGCACGTGTCTGTGCAGGTCCTTAACTGACACAGCCCAATTGTGATGCTTAAAGAAAATACTGGTAGCATAAATTTTCTTGCGCTGCTTTTGTTGGCATGTTCATTGGAATATTATTCAGATTAAAAGTCAGTCATATTGCTGTCTAATTCTGCAAAAAGCAGTAATAAGCAAGCAGGTATGTTAGCACAGATAGGAAATTCTTAGTCTAGTTTTTGTTATTTCTGTCATTCTGTGCCCATTCTTAAGAAATCCTGTTGGAACGAATGCATGAATTGCTAGAAATGCTTCTCAGCTGACTGAGAATAAATACTTAAATTCTTCCTATCTGAATTGCAGGACTTAATGTTTCTGCTTTAGCACTAGGCTGTCGCTATCTAAATGATGAAGAGAGTTCTTAATAATCCTGCATGCACCTTTTCATCTAGAAATCTAGATGGGGCATCACATTTCTTGTTAATGGCTCAGATAGACCTGAAGTGTGCAGCAAGAGAAAGCCAAATTCTGTAACAAGAACCATTCATGCCATCCAGTCTGTCAAATCATTCAGGGACTGCCTAGGTTTAGCAATCTAACTGTGTGTGCCCATGGCTTAGTTGCCTGAATTGTTTAAATAGGCAGATCTGCTGGAGTGTGAGAGGATGTCAAACTGGGGCCCCGATGGTCCATAAACATGAAGCCTTGCGTTGATAAAGCTGAGGCCACTGAATAGTAGGCAGTGCTCTTCTCTATTTTTAGTTATGGGAGGAATATACGTTGTGACCATTTGCATGATCTTTTTCTTTTAAATAAGTAAAATCTCACTGTTAATCTGAGCCTTAAAACCCAATAAAGCAGCAGGATGGAAAAATAAGTCTATCTTGAGGTTCTGGTTTCTCTCTTTCTCTGCTGGGTGCATGTACTTCTGTGAGCTGTTTGAAATGCTTCTGAAAGAGCAACAGCTTTCCTTCAGTTCCTGTCTCGAATATATCAAGCT